GCATTGAAATACAGTCTACACATTAAGATACAGTATACGCATTGAGACAGTCTACACATTGAGAGACAGTGAACGCATTGATATACAGTCTACACATTGAAATACAGTACTCGCTTTGAGATACCATATTCACATTGAGATATAGTAAACGCATTGAGATACAGTATATACATTGATATACAGCTTACACATTGAGACACAGTATACTCATTGATATACAGTCTATACATTGAGATACAACATACGCATTTAGATACAATATACACATTGAGATACAGTATAATCAGATGCAATATAGGCATTGAAATACAATACACGTACTGAGATACAGTATATGCAATAAGATACAGTATAAGCATTTGGATACAATATACGCATTGAGTTACAGTGTAATCATTGAAATACGGTATAAACATTGAGATACAGTCTACACTTTGAGATGCTGCATACGTATTGACAAGTCTACACATTGAGAAACAATATACACATTGATTTGCAGTCTACGCATTGAGAAACAATATATACATTGAGATACAATTTACAGATTGAGATAAAGTGTACGCACTGTGATACAATATACGCTTTGAGATTCAGTGTACGCATTGAAATAGTCTACACATTGAGATACAATCTACCCATTGAGATACAATCTACCGATTGAGATACAAGATACGCATTGATATACAATATACGCATTGAGATAAAGTCCTTCCATCGAGATACATTATATGCATTGTGATACAACATACACACTGAGATACAGTACGCATTGAGATATAATATACGCATTGAGATACAATGTATGCCTGGAGATACAGACTAGACACTGAAATACAGTATACACATTGAGATAGTCACACATTGAGATACAATATATTCATTGAAATGCAGTATGTTTATAGACTATTTTGTAAACATTTAATAAACATTAAATCTGTGAGAAAGTTAGTTTTGAGTGTGGGTTAGTACTCAAGTCAAAAATATGTTGTGAATACGGGACCTGATTAATCCGTACCTGGACATTAGCCAATGAAAAATCAAAACAATTTCTGAGTTTGAGCGTGAGAGTGTTATTACAATTTCAGGGTCACAATATCAACCAATACTGTACACAAATAAACAAATAAAACACACAGCATTCGATGAAACATTTTCTCATACCTTAAATTATGGAAAATATTTTTTTGTGGATAACGACACACACACACAATCACACACACACACAAACACACACACACACACAAACACACACACACAGCCTTCGATAAGATAACGGAGATTGCCAGTGTCCCGTTGGTACCAAAGGATTGAAGGGACATCTGGCGGTCAGGAGCCATGGGTGCAAAAGTCGGACAAGGTCAGATATTAGTTTCTACAATTGATTGCTCATGCTAGATTAACCATATGCTTTTTCAGTTATCATTCCAATGGATTTATTGTAGATGCACCAATCCAGTAATAGAGCTGTTGTGGTTCTACTGATGATAAAATTCCACATCGGTTTGTATGCTGGCAAGTGCATATTACGCTCCAGTATCGATAGTGCGTTCCATGAAGCATCACAATCCAGTTGTTTTGTACCCATTCACCATTTGTATCCACTGAGTATTGAAAATTTATTATTAATATACATACAGTTTAGAATAAGGCCATCACATGTTTGTTTTTCTGCTAACAGTTCTGACTTAAAGTCCAACAAGTAATGGATGTTGAACAATGCAACATCTGATTTCAAATCTTAATAGTTTAAACGGTGTCCCGTTGCCATCAATCGATTTCCTTTTTCGTACACGCAAAGAATGTCGTGTGTTTGTGCGTTCATGTATACACATAACAAGCTACACAGATACAATGATTTCGAAATACTCCTTATACCAAGTCTACACCGTCCAATTCTCCAGATGAACGCTTTAATCTTACCCTCTTCGTTTCTTGACAGTTGTCCGAAAGTAACAATTAGAAACAAACTTGGTTTCAAAGAAGAATTCAAAGACGTAATTTACATTGTTATGGTATGTGAAAATAAATTTGATGTCCATGAAGAACTAGCACATATAATTTGCTGAAATGACACGTTAAAATATCGGTTAGGTACAAAATTGTCTCATATTTGTATGGGTGGAACATGCAGGAATTTTTTTACAAGCGATTCAGATTTCTAAGAATGTGTCATTTGCTGACCAGTGCAGAATCGAAGTACATGTGTATTTTTACACGACAAAAGGCTTATGTGATGGCATGTATAATTACAAGACAACGTGATGTCAATCTACGTTGCATTTGGAAATTACAAAAATATCATTTGTTATCTTGATTCGTATTGGTCATGGATAACTACTGCGATCATATAAAATATTTTAAAAAGAAGAAAATCTTGAAAATTTCAACCTGTACCTCACTTTGCAGATCTATGACTAAGATTTGTTCCGACTGCAGATATAAATAAATATTTAGATATAAGGCGTTCACAGACATTTACGTCTGTTATTAAACATTCGTTTTGATAACATGCATACATGATTTGGACAAAGACATAATCAGTGCTGCCATTTTGTTGCATCTATGTACTATAATGTACACTTGATTCTGATCGGGGACATGATTATAACGCATGTGAGTAGTGTTGTTCTAAGTCGGGATGAGAAACGAAGCATAACAAAGAATGCTTCATAGAAATTAAGGAAATCTCATTAAAAGTCTGTTTCTCAGAAAAAAACAAATTGCCGGAGTTTAGCAAGAGCAAGTAGTTCGGTCAGTCTTCACACACACACATACCCCCCACAGAGTGATGAAATATTTTTAAATAACTCACAGATGACAATTCATTCAATTAATTAACTACTACTACTACTACTACTACTACTACTACTACTACTACTACTACTAATAATAATAATAATAATAATAATCAACTTGTTATAAAATGACTTTTATGGTATTTTTCAAAATTGGGTATTTTTTCCTGAGGACTATCTTTACTATCTACGAATGATGATTTAGTATATTAGTCTACAATGGTTCCTGATTTTATTCCAAAAAATAAATAAATAAATAAATAAATAAATAAATAAATAAATAAGTAAATAAATAAATAAATAAATAAATAAATAATTAATTAAATAAATACTGTGATTGAACTGAAAAATATACATTTTTATTCTTGCACATAAATAAATTTAACTCAAAAATGTTAGTCAACTTGCTATTGTGTTTGTGTGTGCTAATCATCGTGGATGGAGTTAAGAGCAATGTTTCTACCGGCGTAGACATTTTAATTAATCCAAAGCTTTTTGGGTAGGCCATAAGCAAGTGCTGAAGAACTGTTCTCGCTTCATTCCTTCCTTACATTTCTTATTTTCATGAAACATGACAGAATTATACAAAAAAGGAAACACAAAATCATCTTTATGTGAATCGTGCATTTAGTTTTAATGGGCATAGATGGCGATAAGAAATATCTAAAAACAGCTTAGTTTTTCTTAAATAAAAGGTAACGTATTACAGAAATTTATAATTACATATAAATAGTATGTGCATAATCAAATGTATTCACTTAATTGCACCTTATATAATTTAACCGAGCATATGCACATATGAAAATAAATCTTTGCAAAGGCTTGCGGGACATGCCGTGACCAATGAACTCTGATTATTGGTTAGTTATTTCCATCTGCATTACTTCACTACTCAGAGGAAATAAAATAAAAATCCTCCCATTTGCTCATTATTCTATACCTGGAACATTTTAAATAGCAAGGAAGAGAGATTACTTGCACAGGTTTCTTATAATTATTAGTTTACGGTTTTGGTAAACTATAAAAGAAACGTAAAGGTTCTTTATTGAAGTATCGCTTACAATTAGGTGACGTCTAATGATGAAAAGCTGCATTGCTTCGTTGAAGTCATTATTTGTATGGTTCTGGCAATTGAAACACGTGGCTTTTTCCGTGTTCAGTTTGCTTCTGGGAAAGAAAAGGTTGTGTCAAGTCCTGGACCTGATAAATGGAATCAGATCACAATTAATTACTATATATTCTCCGTTTGTTTCTCAGAATTTAACTCTAGTTGTACCAAAATAAATCATATCGTGCTCTAAGGACACCTTTAAACTCACATTGAAATTTTTGTTTTAGGTTATCCAGCAGTGTTTTAGAGCCTGGACTATAAACAAAGCAATGTATACTGAATCAGTTTTCACTTCCGATCATCATCAATGTCTTATTACTGTGCACTGTCGCCGAAATGTACACTGACAACCACACCATAATGCTCAAACTGTAAAGAATAAACAATTGCCGTTAAATAAATAACAAGAATGCCTAAATGTAACTCTTGCATCATGACCAAAAGGAAGGAGGCAAAACTACTCGAAACATAGATTCGGATTACATTTCCGGAACTAAAAATTGTGATCTTATTCCAAATACGTACAAGAAACAGAAGTTTGGAAATACAATTTATATTGGCACAATTAACAAGAGTTATCTTCCTTGTCTAGATAGAAACAAGGATAAATGGAAAATAAAGTTATTTTGCAAAAAATTTAACTAAGTTAAATGTCGAACGTAAAACAAACCAGAGAAAGGAGTACTTTCGTATGTGAGATTTTAAGTTACACGAGTTATTCATAGCAGTGATTGCATATTTGCTCATATTTGCTCACATTTTACCGTATTGTTCTATTTTACTTAGGACTGCTAAGTTTTAGTTTCTTAAGGTCTTCTTTCATCCTAGTTCTGAATTTTTTCACTACTCATTTTTCCAAAAATTGTTCCTTAGAGGAAACTACACTGATTCTGCAAATTATAATTTTTCTATATGGTCATTTGTCACATTTATTATAACTTTGTTTATTACATAGGCTGAGCTCTTTAAATTATTCTTTCCTTTTATAAATTCCAGTCTATTCCTTTTGGAGATAAACTGGCTCAGGTTATGTGCAATGTTCATGTGCTCTACAGAGATCCTCGTTTCCTTTTAATCTTCTTACCAATTTAACCGCCCCGGTGACCCAGTGGTTAGAGAGTTCGCCTAAGATGCAAGAGGTTGTGGGTTCGATCCCCGATCGAGTCACACCAAAGACTTGCAAAAATGGTACCAACAGCTGCCTCGCTAGACGCTCAGCATTAAGAGGTTGGTGTTAGGACTGGTCGGCCTGGTGTCAGGATAATGTGACTGGGTGTGACATCATGCTAGACGTCTGCGGCATAATGCCCCAGGGCTAGACATCAGTATAAACTGCCACACTGTAGACATCGTAGGGATATGACTGAAAAAGTGTTAAAGCGAAATTAAAAATCATAATCACATCACATCACCAGTTTTACCACTCTTATATCAACATATTACCGCATATTCTTATCGTATAATTCATACATAAATTCTTCCTCGAATATTGTTCCTTCTCTCCAGCCTGTTTCCTTAAAGGATCTTTACGAGTTTGAAATGCAGCTATTCAATTTGTTCTTAAGTATTTGCACCGCCTGCAGACTGTGGATTTTCTGTTTCCTGTTATACTCAAACTTAAACTCCATTAATTCTCATCTCAGTCATTCCACTTCCTCAATCATTTTTGCTTGTTTGACACTGCTTAGTAAGGGGTGGATTTCAAGACATTTTCTGCTTACATTAACTTTAAGACATTGTCAGCATTTTATCTGGAAGCCATTTTCTGCAAAATTAAGAGTAAAACTTTCAAGCGTTTGTATTTTGATGGATTTTTTGTGTTGATGACTTCACCCCTAATTGTTTGCCTTTCCGTCCGAAAAGTGATTAATGGATGTCTACTGTGTGATATAATTTTTCCTTTTGCTGCATCCAAATGTTCCCCGACAATTTCCACAACCAGGAATTTTCATATTAGCAAAAGTACAACAATACGTTAATGGCTGTTAGTCTCATCCTCCAAGAGATGTAGTGCATACGTTGCACGCAAATATATGCGACGCGCATGAATTATCTCGCAGCGACCACGATGTGTGATGACTAATGAACACGTGACTGTTCGTACATGTTTAGTGTTATGAAACATCAAACTATTCGTCAGCAGGTTCAACAAACCCTGCCAAGGGATTGAAAGCACACTGAAAACATTTTAACTTAATGTAAAGCAAATACTAGTTTAAAAGACCTGCAATATTACTATTTGTTTAGCAGGGTTACTGGGTTCACCCCGCGGACACAGCTTATCTTGCTGGGTTAAAAAGGAAGTTTTGGATGGAGACAATAATTAATAAAAAGTGTCACATGACTAATCGTATAATCATGATCATGTTTGATCAATGTATATAAATTATGACACATGTTAAAACTCCTTCGCAAGGTATTTTCAAATAATTTACTTATCTTTTAACAAAATCTCCACTTTAAAAATACATAAACACCAACGCTTCAGTTGTTGGGATAGTTTATCTGATAAAATTATTCATGGGAAAAAATCAATGAAAACAAAAAGATTAGAAAAATGACCACTAAATATATTTCTACAAAAGAGATTTTTAATATATTTTTCATATATTCAGTGGATCCTTTTGTTGCCTAATTTTAAGTAAACGTGTACTCACCATTCATATTTCTCTACAGACTAGAAACAGTTCGTTACCTAATTATATGTATAAAGTCAAGACAGAAAAACACAATCGAACATATGATAGAAGTACCGAAACTAAGGGATTCTTTATACCGTGACATCCATTTAAATGGTGTGCTTAAGCAATATTCATAACTATTAAGTTCAAACGGCTAAGTGTAATAAAATCGCATACGGTATTTCTCCTACCATCAGTGTTTCAAGTACAGTTATTTTACATATTTTTTCTCAACAAAAGTGCTGTCTATTTCATTGCTTGGTTCTGTGCAAGGACAACGCTTGCTGTCTGCCTGGACAAAAATATGCAATGTGTAAATTAATCCTGTAATATGCGAAAAGACGCCCAGAAATCGTACTTCGAAGCATGGAGGATATAAATGATTAGGTGCGTCTAACACTTTTTCTACGTTTAAGTCTATTTTAAAATTATGTGCACGGCCTTAAAATGTTTTGGGCAAGGACATAGTTGGTGCTCGGCACCAATTAGGGCTTTTTGATGCTTGCACGGATAAATTGGTGCTCGGCACACTTAGGGCTTTTCAATAGGTACACTCTAAGTTCAAACATCCTATCATGTTACTTATGTACAGGATTCATTCTAAATGGTGACATAACTAACTATTTGGTTCATAGCGGGGACATGACCAGAAGGCGTGATTTTGGACCGAGACACGAACTAACGCATGTAACTATACTGGATCTGAGCTAGAATACTGGATACAATCTCATTAAAAGTCTGTTTGTTTCTCAGCTGTCACGTTGAAATAGTTTACGAAGAACAGCTGTTTTTACGTTTGATTCCGTGAATGGACAAAATTAGTTGTCAACTGGAACATACAAAGTGTAATTAGTTGGGATATGAAGTTGGGATATGAAAGGTCATACGCTGATGGAGTTCTAAGTTTGATTCTGATATAGGATATAACTGGATTTTTCAGGTAAACATCGTGAAATTTATTTTGTTCGATGCAAATTATAACGGATATAATTGTTTCTGGACAGGGATATAAAACTAATGATTTTTATTACGTTCAATTTATGTTCAGATATTCTGTAATTTATAGTTTTGTTTTATATTCATTTTGTAAACATCACCCTTTGAGTCTGCATGCCCAAGTTAGAGTAGTTTTCTTTAATCCTCTTTCTCATTTTGGATATTCTTGAGGTTGGTGCTGATAGGGGATATGAATGATTCTCTGGCTATAAGATGTTTATAAGAATTTTAGTCTAATTTTAAACTTTTTGTTCTGAGCATAGATATACATAACTTGTTTGGGAAAGGAAAGGGTTGTTTCTGGGCAAGAATATACACTTATAGTTTTAATAGGTTCAGTCTAAGCCGAGACATTCATTAATGTCCTTTTGGGAAAGAATTCATTTTGATTGTGGACATAACTGGTTATTAGTGTCTGTACATAAACTTAGAATTGAGCAGAAGGGTTAATTGTTTGGTTCTGAGCAGGACACAAATTATATATATATATATATATATATATATATATATATATATATATATATATATATATATATATATATATATATATATATATATATATATATATGTGTGTGTGTGTGTATGTATATAAGATGAATATGAATATGAAATCAAAGATCAAACAATAAAACTTACGTGATTGTTATTTACAACATGTTTTGATTAGATATTTACGCATATTTGCTCATACTGTACTTACTCTATTGTCAGAGTTTACTTAGGTGTGCGTTTTTTGTTTATATTTTTAGGTCTTTTCTCATACAATTTCTGATATTTTCCGTTATTCATTTCCAAATATCTTTACATAAAAAACCTCACAGATTATGAAATTCATATTGTTATACCTTTTACATATGGCTATATATACATGATGTAAACTGCTAATGTTTCCTCCTATGACTAATTTCCGGTTTCGTCCTTTTGGACATAAAATTATTTATCACATTTGGTCTGTCTGCTGATGCAGAGAAATGGCAAAATTGCTGTGCTATATTTATGTTGTAGACATAGCTCTACGTTCCTTAAGATCTGTTCCTTAATTTCTTTCGAATAGTTCCACTACAACACTTTTTCCGTGCAAGCATCAACCAAGCCATTCTATTCCATCGATAATTAGGTTCTTCGTATTTGAATATTGTTATTTCTCCACGGCCTGTTTTCTTACAGCATCATAACGATTTTGTAATACAGCAATCAATTCTTTCTTAATCATTTGTTCGGCTTCTAGTACATGGATTTTCTGCTTCAGGATGCCGAACTCGCACTGAAATTTTATGGTATTGTTTTTAACTTGACAACTTATCATTTGTCAAGATCTATTTGAATAATTTTCCATCTGGGTAACGTTTACGGCAAGGAGGATTTTAATGCCGAGCGGGATACACACAGGAGTGAATTAAAGGAATGAAGTACTTGTGAATTTTATGAAAAAATAACTTTGTTTGGTAATTTACAACTTTGCAATATTTCATTATATCTTCAGCAACATAAGGACGAGTGATCATCTTGTTCCCTCTGATGACGGCATTATTATGCACTTTGCAAATAACCAGTTTGTGAAGAGCACTTGCTATCCGAGGTTATCTATCTATCTCGATACTTATCTTCCTTCGTAGGTGTATTAAAACATCTGAAGGCTTTAAATATAAACGCAAAGTTTGAATGAATTATATTATATTTTGAAGAAGGGAATAGTCTAACTGAACATCATTATTGCCTTAAGAGATTAAAAAAATCTGAAATGATGTTGACATATTATATTCATGCATTATCAAGCAAATTTATCCATCAAAGTACGTCAGGCTCGCAGAATCCTATGTTAACGTCTCCTGGTAAGATAATCACACAGAAGCCTATAGTCCACATGGACAATTTAATTGTATTTCAAAAGTATGGAAGCGCAATATGGTTGTGAATATCGTTCCGACAGAGAACATAATCCTGCAGCGAGAAAGTTTAGAAATAGTCTAAAATTAGTTGCAGAAAAATATATAAATAATGTGTTTGATAACATTGAAAGCTAACACGAATACAAATAAATAACTTTTAGAGCCATTCATACTGACACAGATAAAAGTGTAAAGTTACGTCCAGAGATAATGTAATATAGTGTCTGTGTTAAAGAGTTAGTTTTAAAAAGCTTTACCATATACTCTATGGACACTGATGAACCAAAGTTTAGGCTTCCTATAATAGATTTCTAAATTTCATTTAGAAGGAAATTTGCCATAAATTTAATGTAATATTAATCTAACCTTTGTGCATATGCATAAAATATATAAAGAAAGGCCCTACTATAATAATAATTACCGAAATATTTAAATAAAGTAATTAATAGTTACCCAAAAGTGCATACCTGGTTTTGTTATAAACTTAAGTGTCAAACATAGAGGCTTACTGTTGAAATAATTTTCATATTTTTTTATTCCTATTTTTTATTTCTATATTTTCACATTTTCACATGTGAACGATATTACATATACTTTTAAA